ATTAAGTTTTCAATCAATTTCAAGATCAAATAAGATAAAAAAAAAGTTAAATTATTTTTTTTTATAAAATTTTTATAAAATAATCTGTTATGAGAGTTTGAGACTTCAGATACACGAACGAAATATATTAGATAAATAATAATGATGAAAAGACGTAAGAAAAAATAAGAGATAAAAAAAAAAAAATTTTGAAAATCAAAGTTTTGAGGTGCAAAGAAAATGAACAGAAGTTAGTTGTAGATATTATGCCGTCATGCTACAATTAAACATTTGAGGGGCATTAAGGCAAGCACGTGATGAGGGATTGGGTGGGATGGGAGGGATTAGGGGTGGGGTGTCGGGGTGTGGAGAAAGGATTGGGTGGGGAGGGATTGGATGTGGTCGGGTGTTAGGGGATGAGAGTTAAATTTTTTATTTAATTTTATAATTAATTTTTGAAATTTTTTTAGATAAAATTTAATTAGAGGTTTTAAAAATTTATAATTAAAAAAATAAGAGATTAATAATTTAATAAAATATATATAGAGATTTTAGATGAAAATTTTTTATAAATTTTTTTGTATAAGTTAGATAAAAAATAATTAAAATTAAATATTATATTTTGATTGTATTATATATTAATTTATAATTTTGTATCTGAATTTTTTTTTTATTGTTTTGATATTTTATTGTTGTCAATTTTTTTGATATTAGATTAATTCTTGTTATTTTTGTGTAATTATTGAAGATTGTATTTATTATATAATTATTGAAAGTTATGTATGACAAAAAAATTTATATCAATTAGTATATCAAAAAAATTAAGTTATTTAATAAATTTAGTATTTTATGATCTATTACTCTTACTAAGATTAAAAACTAAAAAATAAAAAATATAGGTTTGAAAATTTTATTAAAATATAAGTTTGAAAATTTTTAATTTTTAAAATTTTTTTAGATAAAATCTAATTAGAGAGATTGAAAGTTTATAATTAAAAAAATTAAGGGATTAATAATTTAATATAATAATAATATAGAGATTTTAGAATCAAAATTTTGATAATTTTTTGTATAAGTTAGACAAAAATTAATTTAAAATTGATATTATTATTTGATTGTGTTAATATATTAATTTATAATTTTTTATATGATAATTTAATAAATTTGTTTGTAAATAAATCAAATATGAATGCTTTTAATAATCTAAATAAAATTCTATGAAATAATTTTTTTAAAGTAAAAAATATAATGCATAAACTATTTTAAAATTCATTAAAATAAAAATTTTTAAATAATTATAATTATAAAATTACATGTTTAATATAAATTATGCAAAAAAAATTCACAACCGCGATGATGCAGTGATCGTCAATGATCTACGTTATATCCGAAAACACGATAATACTGCGATGCGATAAAATAAACGTGATCGCGACTGTATTTCAGATCCTGTCTACAGCCAACCAATTAAATCAAAACAGGTACACAAACAGGCAGTTCTATTTTCCTACTGTTTGTAAAAGCAAAAACACATTTTCATAGATTTGTGCAAACATATACAAACTTTAGTTACCATGTATTTAAGTTGTTTACCATTTATGGGTGCAGGTAGAGCTTCTGGTAAATCAATATCGGCTGAACTCTCCAGGTTTATTTGGCATTGCAATATCATAGAATGCTCCTTCCATTGCAGCCGATCATTGATGCCAAGTTCTCCAAACAAGTTTTGCACATTTGGGTAAGCTCCGACTTGCTAAAAAGAAAAGAAAAAATAAATAAAAAAGATGTTGAAATGTATCAGATATTTACAACTTTCAAGTACTAAAAAGGAGGATGATAAAATAAAATAAAATAAATAATCAAATCAATTACTGAACATGAAATTTCAAATACAAAGGTAGATCCTTCAAAAATGTAAAGAGGAAGACCAGATGGGGAAGGCTGAGAAAACAAAAAATTGTATCTATACTTACAGAATATATGTAGGCCTGTCTCATACCAATCTTCATCATCATCTCTCCATGCAGCCACCTGTTTAAAATAAGACCAAACTCTAATCACTCACAGAAGACAAGGATAAGGGAAAAGAACACCTTAAACCACATAGGTATGCATGCCATGCTAAAAGCTTAAAATTTTTACAAGAAGCCATTTAAAGGTATTTTAATTGATAAAAAATCATCAATTTAGTTTAAACCAAAAGTTTTTTTTTTCTTTTGCATGCAACTGGAGGCTTGAGAAAAGACATTATCCCCAGAAACTCAAGTTAGTCATTAATGCAGTTTAGTTTCACATGGTAAACATTATTTAATTTATGCTGCATGCCATAATTCAGCAAAATAACTAAAGCTTCCTTGAATAAATCTTGCAGTTAAAATTGTGTTGTCTTCCTCAAAGATGAAGTGTAAGATATCTCCTCATATTATGCGCAATAAGGTTTTAGAAATGAGAAGATGATACAATAATATAATAGGTGTAAATTTCTATGAAAATAGCGCCAAAACCTTTCCACCTAGAACATCTCTTGCTTCTAATAACAGAGGTTTGTGACCTGCATCCGCTAAATACTTTCCAGTTGACAAACCAGCCAAACCTGCAAAAATTCAAAAGTGGCAAGTCTAGTCTAGTAGCAAAAACAAACTCAAGTGATGGATCATACATTAAATCTAGAACCCTGTAATGAACTAAGATGTCATTCATAAGACTAATTCCCAAAAAGAAATACATGGCAAAGGCATGCAGAAAACACAAAAGGATCAAAATTTTAGGTATTACACCAATATCAACCCAAGGCCAAAGGGCTATATTTACATTCTAACAATAGCTTTTAAGCAAGCAGATTCTTCTTTATCTATCAAACAAAAGCATATTCATACTTGAAAGTTAACCCTTGGAATCAGTAAAAAGAAACAAACAACATGTTTACATTCACAGACTCCTATGACAGAAGAATACCAAATTATTACCTAATTATTCTTGCATGCAAACCATCCAATTCTCACAAAGCACAGGGCCCTTAATTGGCACAGCCTTCTAATAAAACTAGATATGGTCACATCAGCAAATAAAATGTAAAATAGGAACATTTTGAACACAAAGTCACAATCCAATGACAGAGTATGAGACTCTCGACTGGAAAAATGTTAATAAATTTAGTTAAAAACCAAGGCAGAATGAAGTCTAGGCAAAAATTCAGTTCATCCGTATGAAAAAATAAAAAAATAAAAATAAAAACTTTAAGAAATTTAGCTACAGAAAAGGCACAAAGAAGCCACCAAAAATTCAAAAGGGTATAGAAAATGGATTTCCTAAAGGACAAAGAAAACAAATATCAGAATTAAGAGAAAATTCATTCCTGCACCAGCAATTATGACTTTAAATGGCTTAGCTGGACGGGGAGCAGAATGAAAAGAAGCAGAAAAAGAAGCAGCCTCCAAAAATTAACAGTATTCTCAAGCTCTGGTCTTAGATAATCTATGCAAACTACCTGGCTCATAATAATAAAACAAGTAAATATTATTCATCTCACTATTACAAAAGGGTAAGGTTATCCAAACATTCATCAACACCAACCAACCCGCAAAGGACAAGCACCCTTACTTGACATCTTTTTAAAGGGAATTCTCAAGGTATTTCCCATGGATTCGCCACTTCTAAAAGCTAAGACACTTCCCATGCTTATTGAATTGCTTTTAAAGTTTAAGTGCACAGCAGCAACACTGCCACAGAGACTCATTTTCTTCAAAACCAATATCCCAGAGTTCAGATCTTTATGACCCAATTCAACTGCAGCTGTTGCAAATAAGCAAAAAGAAGAAATGGTTAATTGTAGTTTATCAACATGAAGAAGAAGAACACATAAAACTATCACAAACAGAAAGCAAAACAAACCCTTTTTTGCCTTTACAAATCCAAGCACAAAAAGAAAAAAAACTACTTGCTTCAAAAAGAGGAGAAAAGGGTGTTGCAGATGCAAATTGAACACCGCCAAAGCAACTAAAAGGAACCCAGAGAAGGAGTAGATTGAATTACAGAAAAGATTACTAAAATACTTAGACTTGCCTTAGTAATAGAAACTTATAAGTTAGAAAGCGGGATATGGACAGCGGGCGTGTACTTGTATGTTTAAGGCATGAGAGTTCGGGTTTGGCCTAACCGAAATACAGGTAAACATGACATAAATCATTACAAAACGCTTTTGGCGGGTTGCTATTTTTTGGGGCTGGTTGCTGTTTCAGGAATATTCATCAACATTTTGTCTCTATTTTCTTTAGCATATAGATAGCGTTCTACCAAAATACCAATGAGTACTTTTGTATTTATTATTTTATATTTCATATTATTCTAATAATCAAACATATAAATAATAGGAGTTCATTTAATTAAGCGCACACATGCTGATTCAATTTTTGAACATTTTAAGCTTAAGAAAAGTTACACGTGTAATATGCTTCTTAATGAGTTAAATAAATAAAAAATCAAAACCTTTTTATTTCTCATAATCAATTTTTCTTAAACTAATTTTGAATAATATTTTTGTATTGTTTTGTAATTATTCCTTTTATATTCCTTTGATATTTTCCGAAGTAAACCATTAAAGAACATTCTATTCCTATTAAAATTGATTATATTTTTATGAATATCATTTCATAATTTTACTCTATCATTCTATTCCAGGAATCAAACATTCGTTTTCTATATTAAAATAGCAAAGTTGAATTTATTGTTTTAAGTTACCATATCTCTTAACATAAAATTTTCGTTGCATTTATACATGACCGCCATGATATTGTTTTCCAGTTGCTGCTTTAGCTATAGGACTGCTAACTTAGCTCTTCTGGTAATTCCCAAGCTCATCATCAATAATACAGACCATTCCTCAAATCCAGTTATAGCTCTTTACCAAGAAAAAGAAATCCAGTTATAGCTCAAATCATACAGACCATTTATCCACCTAACTTGAAAGGAAAAGTTCATAGAAAATAAAGATCAAAAATCTCTGAAACTCATTTTAGGGTCAACCCTTTTTCCGGCTGCACATCCCCTTCCCCTGTATCCGCCTCTACTCGTTCCTCTTCTTCTTGCACCGAAGCCTCTGTTAAATGATTTACCATGCTTCACCTCCACAAGGGAATGAAGCAGCTCATCACAAAGAATGCAACCAGTATGCAATGTAGCTCCATCTTCCAAAGGAGTTGTTTTCTCATTAAAGTCTACCTCTATGATTGTGAAGTCACATTCAGCACAGCGTTCTCGGGTAGTGGCAATCCGGTGAGCACCCTCAGGGAGTAAGACAAGGCAGTTGCATTTATTGCAATAAAGTCTCCATTCCGGAGCACTTACAGGGTCTAAAACAAGGGTTCCACTGCATTCGGGGCAAGCACAGACTCCCTGTGCCACCAGAGAATGTCGACATGCGGGATATGGGCAGAGGAAGCATGGCATGCCTGCTCCCTTCCCCAACTTCCCTGTACTACCTATCTTTGTTGAACCAAAGAGAGTGTCTATTCCTTCAAATGGAGGACTATTATAACAATACGGGCAGAGAGGGAATGACTTGCCTTCCGGACCAGGCATGGAGAAGATCAAAAGCTCAAAATTATCCAAAGGACATGTAAGTTCTTTGTACAGCTGTAGAAAAATTAAAATGTCACAACAGGCAATGTTAAAAGTGCAGCCATTGATACAGATATGCTGACAACGGAATGCTGCCCCCTCCCCGCCTTTGAGGCTTTTCCAAGTCCAACCATCAACTTTCAAAACAACTCATAAGATCCAAAAGATTGCCACATATTGAGTACTATCATCCGTGCAATTTTTACAGTACATCAAGCTATTGAATGAAGTAGATGCATGCCATTGAAAAGCATTTGCAGCATAAGTTTCAATTGACTCTAATTTTCTTCAAGATTAATTTCTTAAAAACACATCAAACAAAAATCACTATTCCTACACTCAGGGCATCAGCATGGCTAGAGATGACAACGTATTGATGTCCAGTCAGGTCCCCAGGTTGCTCCAACCTCAATTCAGATAGGTTTCTATACAAGAGCAAGAAAGGAAAGAAGTGGAATCAGGCACCTGAAGTTTTTACATATTATTCCTTCCATTCCATTTTGTTTACCCTTGTTAAACTTTTTTTGATAAGACAAACTCAACTTTGACTATTTTTTTTAAAAATATGTTGAATTAAAAATTTTTATAAATGTTTTGAAATTTTTGAAATTCAAAATTTGTAAATCTTATTTTTAAAAAATTTACTAAAATTTTATTATTTTACTAAAAATAATGATCAAACTTGAGTTAGTTTGACATACATAATAGGATGAATGGAGTAATAGATTCTAGGATTGATCTAAGGACAGGAGGAAATGAAAGAAAAAGAAAAAGGTGGTGGGGGGGGGGGGGGGGAGAAGAAAATGGCAAGCTAAGGAAAGAGATTTATCAAGAGTGCTTAACTACTTTTCCTTCGAATCCATGGATTTTGCAAAGACGCAAGAAATTATTTATGGCTTATATGCAAGGTACAACATTCCATATGATAATTGTTCCACTAAACTATGAATTTTGCTAAAGGTCCAGCATTTTGGTATTACCTTGATTGTTCCCTTTTGAGGAAGGTAGTAAACCTCCTCACATGTGCCACAAAACAAACGTTGTGGTTGTGTAGAGATGTACTTCATGTACCGCAAACATTTACCACATTTACTAAGAGCACGTCCTGAGTCAGATAGTGGGGAGAATAGCGCTTCAAACAAGGCATCCATGTTCTCAATCTGGAAAAAGAAGGGGGAGTTAAGTGATAAACAAATAATTCCAAGTTACAATATCTAAAAGAAATCATAAAAACAAGTCGAATCTTCATCCATGAAATGTATACACATGAGCATCCAGAAAAGTGAGTATGTGGTAACAACAGCAACAATAAAACTTACTACAATTGCACTGTATTTAGAACCATCTATTGGGTAAGACTACTAGAAATAAGTTCTATGGTAAGCAACCCTAATCAAATGACAAACCAAAAACTTACCACAATTGTTCTATGATTTTCATGTACTTTATCCAAGATGCTATTTAAGCATGCAAGTACAACATATAGTTCTCTAACCTGCTGAATAAAATAACTGAATTTTTGCTTGAATTGCTGTAGTACATGCTGCACAACACGAGAATGATTTGCCTGACCCTTAGCAACCAAAGTAATCTGATGCTCAATGAAACTGCGAATTTCTGGCAAACAAAGATCTGGATCAATGCATTGATAGCCTCGTATCAGTGTTATGCCTAAAGTAGTTGGAACCAACTTCCTACCAACTTGTACCTGCATTTTAAGTAAGAATGAAATATCCATCTCATACAAAGATAAGCTAACATTTTGCGTACAAAAGCTAAATATCACAAGGATAAACTTAAATTTTTTTGCATAAGAATTTATAAACCTGCACATAATTCCTCTCACATATGTTGTTTATATGCACAGGTATTGATGCATCTGTGCCTATTCCATTCCTCTCCATCAGAGAAATGAGCTCACTCTCACTGAGATAATCAGGGGGTGAAGTCTCACCCTAAAGAATTTAGAAAATCAGGCATCAGTAACAATATTTGGACACTTGATGATTCATTAAATGGAGGTGAATATTTATTTACCTCATATAACTCTACTTTTGAAACTCCAATTTTCTCCCCTTTCGTAAGCTGAGGAAGATTTTTCTCATTTATGGCCATCCATGGCATAATATACGTAAATGCTTGTGTCGTGACGTGCTGCCCGATGCAATGGAAGAATTCTCCACCAACTGAAAATTCTACTTTTGTCCTGAAATAGACACCAATAATAAATATTATAAAATGAAAAGAGAAAATACTAATGCGTAATTAACCAATAATATAGAATCTAAAATCAAAAAGTTTCACTGAGCAAATAACAAGTAAGAGAATCATGGCAAAACAACAGCAACAAACATACCTTTTTCCACCAGGTGAGATCAGAATCATAGATGACATTGCACTATGGTGCTGTATTTAGAACCATACCTTCAAGAAGCTCAATAAAAACAAGGCCCTTCTCAGTAGCCTGCCCACCTACCCACACCTTCCCAACCCGCTGACCACCCAAGTCTTTTTTGGTCTTGCCCCTTTTGACATGATCCATTAAGTAACAACCTAGGCATTCTATATTGAAATTCACTTATGTTAAATTTCTCTATTTTATTCTATTATTCTTTTTTTTATTTTCACAAAATATAAATTCCATTTCCCCTGTATTACGGTAACCAAATATGCGGTTAGTGCATTAGTGGGATCAAATGTAGAAAACTGGGGCGCAAAAGCCAAGAAATTTCTTTGAACCTTTTGAATATACGCCGAGCTATATCTATTTGACATATGCAGCCAGCAAATTCGTCATCAATTTCCATGATAGAAAGAAATCAACAATCGAAGGTGGGAGAAATTAAGAGAGAATGGGCATTACTTCATCCTGCTACTATGGCTTATTCAAGCAGCAAAATCGCAAGAAGTAAACGAGTTTGGTTGTGAAGAAAAATGTGGGCATGTTGTTATTCCATCCCCAAATGGAATAAGAACTGGTTGCTATAAAAATTCCTGGTTTAGAGTAACTTGTAACAAGACCTTTCAAATCGTATTTGATGGGATTCCACCCCAGCGTTGCAGGAACATGCGTCGTATCAATGCTTATGTCGTGGGGAATTCGATATCTGGAACCGATGAGTTAAACATGGGAAATTCGATATCTGGATCCGATGACTTAAACATGGAAGGGTCAAAAATGAAAGCAGATGTGCATCTCTTGTTGTATTCTTGCTTCCCAGAATCAATGATTTCTGTCATGGTTGCAGTAAACGATTTCAGATTTTCAGTAACTATGGCATAGCAGCCTCCTAATTTAGAAGTCTAGCCGCCACATCTTTGTCGCAGGCAGCCTGTGATGGGATCAGTTTGAATATTACTAGAAACAGTAGCAACTTGCCGCAACCTACTGACCCGAATTTCTTGAATCTACTTGAGAAGAAAAATGGACTGCCTTTTAGGTTGACAGTAGCAGGAGCAGTGTTGCCATTGTTTCCCTTTTTGCCGCAATTGAGATAAGTTACCGGATTGTTGACGGTGACAGAATCGTCAAACGTAAACGGACCGAGTAGCTCCAGATTGATGCGACTGATGAAAGGCTTTAGCCCGTTACTGGTTTTGTTGCGAGTCACTCTAAACCACGAATTTTTATAGCAACCAGCTTTTGTTCCAAATGGGGGTCGAATAAGAACATCCCACAGATTTCATGACAATCAGACTTGACTGCTCCTTGCGATGTTGCTGGTTGAATAAGCCATAGTAGCAGGCTGAAGTAAAACACCAAGTAAACGCCCATTCTCTCTTAATTTCACCCACCTTTGATTGTTAATTTCTTTCTATCGGGGAAATCAATCAAGATTTAGTCGGGTGTATGTAAATATAGACCGGGCGTAAACTCAAAAGTTTCAAAGAAATTTCTTAGCTCTTGCGCCCCAGTTTCCTATGCTTGACCCCACCAAAGCACTAACCATCTTTAGGGAAAAAAGAAAATATCTCTATCAAATTCTTTGCTATAAAAATCCCGTCATCATAATAAACCAACAAAAACCATTCTAATAGTTCAAATTTTTTTTTGATTTATAAAAACAGTTTTCTAGTTCTTCTTCCAGTACAATTAAATCTTCTGCAAAATATTCAGAAATAGCAAATTACCATAACTCTGACTGTATTGTACGAAAAATGTTAAAATGGAAAACCTTAAAGTTTCGCAAAATTTTTCTCATATACTGTCAACAGTTTGGATATATCCGAGACAACAATCAATTGAGGCCTAAAGATAGTATAATTTGCATCCTATAACATAGGTGGTGAAAAATTTGCCTTTTCTAATAGAAAACAATAGCTAAAAACGCAAATAATCAAACCATTTATAACCCAAAACCAACGGAAATAGAAGGATTCTTTGAAGCCCTGTAAATTTATCAAACACGGAAGACAAAAGCAAAATTCTAATAAAAAATAAAAATTTCACATTATTTTCTCATTTTCAAGTTTTTAGCAATCAAATATGGCACAAATTTCATTATTTTTGAATACCCTTTTGCATGAATCTAAATGAAAGATTTATAATTTATTATAATCATATATATGAGTAAAAAAAATTAGTAACACAAATAAAGCAACAAAAGAGACATAAATGAAAAAGATAAAAGATTTACCTTGCATGGATGATCTTAATGTTGGTTTTCATGTTAGGTTGAGATTAATTATATGCAATGGAACCTACAACACCGCTAAGCCACAAATACCCTTTTGTTTGAAACAAAAAAAAAAAAAAAAAGAAACACACAATTTAAAAAATAAATAAATAAATTATCAACAGTTATAAGCTTGTAATCAATGACCTGCTCCTTCATGGATTCAAACTTGGTCTTAGATTCCGCTATTTTGGAGAGAAAACAAACCTTTTAGACAAAGATAGGAATTAAAGAGATCCAATTTTAGTTTTATTTGAGTTTGTGTTGAGAAACTATTTCCTTTGAGAAAATTTAAAATGGGAAAAACAAAAGGAAAGCTGGGAATGTGAGTGGGAAGTAGCTTGACACTAACCGGAAGGAAAAGAAAATTTTCTTCTTTTTTTTTTTTTCCTAACACAAACTCAGTAATTAAGATCAAAAAGAGTAAAAATAACTTTCTTTCTTTTTTTTTTATAAATTTAAAACTTGTTATTTCCTTTAATGTAATAATTTATTCCGATAGCACCATTAATAAAATTTGTAATAGACGGAGCTTTTTCTAATTCTCCCTAAAATATAATTCAGCTACCCCACCAAACTTTAAAAAGTAATGTTACCGTCAAAAGCATGATTTACATTGCTAGTATTGCAATCAGTCTCATCAAACTTTGTGAACAAGTGGAAATGAATTATCTTTTTTTTTCTTTTTTCGAGTGAACATATTAATCTCTTAACTGTTAAGCTGATTAGCTAGTAACCAATTAGGCCTATTTCTTTTCTTTTTCTTTTTTTTGGCTTTTTATTTTTTATAAAAAAATTATTCTTCTAAATTGTGAGTAGAAAATATCGAAAAATTCATTTTACCTAATATTAGAGGGAAAATTTTTAATTTCTTATATAAAATAATTCTAAATTAAAAAATGAATTTTAATTAACTTGTTTTTTTCCCTTGTGATTTAGTGATTTTTTGTAAATTTTATGTAATACAAAAAATTCAAAATAAACCCAAAATGAACAGAATGTTAAAAGAAAAGTCTCGAGTTCATGGTTTACGTGTTAAAAACAAAAAAGACAGGCAAAGAAAAGTCTCAACATCAACTCAAAAAGAAATTGTCATAAACCATTTTAATCTTTGACGTAATCATCAAGTTAGAGAAAATTTAAAAACATGAACATTGTATCATGGATTGTTGACGGTGGATTTGTTGTTGGTTAATATTTAAAATATTAAATATGATAAGATAATATATTAATAATGTAAAAAATATAATATTTTGTTTGTATAAAAAATGTTACTTGATTGAGAATCTACAAGTGAACTTAAATGAAATAAGTAATATACAATTAGTAGAATATCATTTTCACGAAGATTGTAAATAGAGTGAATCAAATACTAAAATTATCTCACCTTATCTTATATTTAGAGGAATCAGAATAAGAATGAATTATTATGAAAACTAATAAAAAGCAAAACTTAAATAATGTAATTAAACTTCAAAACATGTAATAACAATAAAGTGAGATGAAATTAAATTTAAATTAATGCAAATAGCAAGTAACTAATTGAATTAAGATGCAACCAACTTAAATTAATCTAACCAAAACTTAAATTATGTAAGAACCTAAAATTAAAACCAAAGTGTACAAGATTACTTAAATTGAATGCAAACAACAATGTATTATAAAAACCAAATCATGCAAAAGTAACTTAAACATAAAATCATGCAAAAACACTCTAAAACCCAAAGATAAATGCAACATGCAATTTAAACAAATTAGCTTAGTTAAACCTTAACCAAATTCAATGAAACCTAAAAACATGCATTCTAACCAAATTAATACTAACTTAGATAATAGCAAATTAAATCAATACAAAGCAGTAATATAGAAACTAAACTAAAATTGATTAATTAAAATATGTAAACATCAAATTAAAGAGAAACAGTAAGCAAATCACATACATTTAAATTGATTTTAATTGAAAAAGCAAAAACTTAAACTTAAACTTGAAATAGAACTTGATTTGCCTTGAAAACTAAAAATAAATATGAACAAACTAAATTGTAGTAAAGAAAAGTTTTAAGAACAATAAAAAATTAAAAGAAAACAAGAAGAAAGATAATAAACAAAAGATTGGTCTATCACCCCATCCATAATTTTTCCTAATGCCTAAGCCAACTATTTATAGAATAAGAATACATAGAATTTTAAAATTAGAAGGATAGGTAGATGGTGGCTATGCATAGTAATTACTTTTAAACCCTTGACAGCCTTCTTGAATAAAAACTCTAACTTGAACTAGGCTTTAGCTTGAATTTGGCTTAAATCTTAAAATCAATTGGTCTTATGTTAGATTCTTAGATCTTGGACTTATGCTTTTAGTTGAAGAGTTCTTGGAGAAGATAAAAGTAAAATTCTAAGTTATGTTCTCCTCATGTGCTACCTCTTTTTAATAGTACTCTTTTATCTTCATGCGAATCCCTACCCTTAGAAAGAATACCCATCCAAACTAGAATTTCCTAGTCAAAGTAAGAAAATATTCTTGAAATAGGAAAATTAAGGGCTATTTGGACTTTTTCAAGAATGGACAAAACTTTCAAGTCATAATGCCACATAAGTCTCCAAATCATCTTTATTGGCTAATAAGAAAAGACTCGTTGCAATGTCATCCATTAATAATCCCTTGCATGTGCACTATATAAGCTATCATGGACTTGCTTTTAACTTGAATTTACATATCTATCCATAATCATAGCCAAACATCCATTACATAATTCATGCATGAATTTTCTAATATTTTCAACTAGATTCATCAATTCTAACTACAATAGATTCGGCAAAGCAAATCTTGTAGAATTTCATCAGTCCAACTTCAAGATTTTCAAGAATCAACATGAACACATCAAGAATAGTGCAAGATTGCTCTAAATGTATCAAGAATCATCCATGATTGATCAAGAAACTCTAAGATTCTTCAAGATTCATCAAGATTCAATCTTTTCTTTGAGATTTCTACAAAACAGCAAATTAAGCATATTAGGAGTAAAAAAAATTTATTTTAGTAAAAACAAAGCAAAGTTAAGTCATTTAAACACTAAAAATAACTTTATTTAATAGAGTTATCAAACCCTCAAACTTGAACTTTTGCTAGTCCTCAAGCAAAATAAACTTTACTATATTAAATAGACATGCTTGAAATCATATAAATTTCCTATGGTCAAATCTTCATAAGTTCCTTAAAAATTACATGATGAATATAATATAACTTACAAAAAATCTTAGACACAATTTAAAAACCTAGACTCATTTAAGAGTTAGTTCCTTTTAAAATGTAATTTTCATATGCGTGTGTGAATAGTCTATCTCATATCACTGCAAGTCATTCAATTAAAGTTACGTAGACATCAAATTAATATATCACCTCAAAGCATGCACTAATTTCATAAGTTTGACTATCACATCTCTTTCCACTAATGTAGCCACACTTAAATCAAGGATTAATAGGTCTTTATTAAGCTTGTAATGTAAGGTTAGGGTTAAGGTAGGATAAAGAAAAATTTAGGCTGATAATCCCTACACATGCATTACTTAGGATCTTTTTATTTGATGAGAAATCTTTCAAGAGAATTATATACCTTGAAACTTAGATTTTTTTTCTTTTTTTTTTTTGACTTTTCTCTAAATAGTATGCATTATCACTTAAGCATTCTTTTTCTTTTTGTTTGAAATTGTTTTTCAGCCTCTTCATACTTTGCATCCTCTTTCCATTTCTTTTTTTTTTTTAAGTTCACCCTTCATATCCAAATGTAACATAGCTCTCATATTT